TGACCTGCTCAGGGTGGTAACCGGAAAGTTAAACAACCTTGGTTTTCTCAAAGACTGACAAATCATTCTCTAGCCAAACAAGCTACTTAAGAGTTGATCTCACAAAGTTCCCTCTATAAATGAACTGGATCTGAAAGAAACTGGCTTAAGTGATAAGCAGTCCCCAGAAGATCCAGAAAATTCAGAGTTTCCTACCGCCCTATACCGTAAACCAACTCTCACAACACCACGAATGAGGCAAAGCTTTTAAAGAAACCATTTGGGTCACACTGGTTGATATACATGTATTTCACTGTGTTATTTTTTTAATCCTTAAAACGATTTAAAAATGCTGAGATCCTTTGACAATATTATAATTGCTTGTTTCTCTATTACTGAAAAGAATAATTTCATGATAAAACATACTTTCACAGCATTCCAGTAACATCTACCACAATGCGATTTCCTTCATGGCATATTTACACACAATTCCCATTGTCTCCTTTCTGCCTTAAGTATTTGCAAGCATTAATTAATATAAAAATCAACTTTATTGTGGTACAATGTACACACAATAAAACACTCCTGCTTTTTTATTTTTCATTTTAAAGATTTTATTTTTAAGCAACCTCTGCACCCAACATGGGGCACAAATGCACAACCCCGAGATCAAGAGTCATCCACTCTTCTGACTGAGCCAGCCGGGTGCCCCGTACTCCTGTTTTAATAGTACACTTCCATCATGAATTTTGAAAAATTGATACATCTGTCTAACCACCCTGATTGGGTGTTAAAAAGAGACAGCCATCTTACTCTGCTCTGGCCATTTCATGTGCACACAAACATGGACCCTAGCCCTTGAAATGCAAGAAATTCCCTGCCCAGCTCCACTGGCAGACAGCAATACAGAATCTCCTTTGCCCAGGGGGTTGGTATTAAGAGAAGCCATATTCCAGCTTCCATATTCCATTGCAACAACTACAATCACGTGTGAAAAGGTGTTCTTGCCAAACCTAATGTCCACTCGCTGTAAGGAACACAACGTTAAAAGGCCTTTGAATGTTAAAATACCTTTTTACCTTTTAGGTATTTTTACATGGTCCTTCTCTCTCTCTCAACCATCCTGTGACTTCTCCCACCTAAACAGCTCTGGGGATGGAGAGGGTTACAAGGGTTGCAGAACCCTCTCCCACCCTGCTCACCGTACCGGGAGGCTCTCCAATGGGCCACTGAAGCAGCCACTGTGTGTGTGTTGACCTGGGCAGAGTACTGTGGCAGGTACCTCCTAGATCTCTACTCAAATATTTGCTAAGTGCCCAGCATGTGCCTGGCACTTAAATATGAGTAAGCCTCTGTACCTGCCCTCAATAAGGTCACATAATTCCATTAAAGGCAGCCTCATTAATGATTTCAACAGTTGTTTCAGGGTCAGGTTCATATTGAACCTGGAATGAATTGAAGTTCATATACATTGCGGTCAAGGCAGAATAATTCCTTCCAACCCATGTGCAGGTCTTTACAGAGGCCCCTGTTAGCTTTCATCACTTTGATTTTTGCCTTTTCCAGTAACCAAATAAGAACTCTGTCAAGATACTAACTCTTGTTAAAACTGAGGCAATTAATACTTCATGAAAAAAATAAAGCTGTTTTCTTAGTTCTCATTGAAATTGAAAACAGTTTCTGAGGTCTGTGTGGTTTTACGTCTGGTTGTATATATATTATTTTCACAAAAACCAACCTGTTGTTGGGTCATTTCATGGTACCACAAGATGTGATGGCAAATGAGGATGTCACTTTTCTTTTCCTTTTTTTCAAATTGAAGGTGCCTGGCTTTTCCTGGCAAACTCCAAACTCCTACTCACCCTTCCAGACCAAATGCAGATGACACCGCTTGGGTGAAGACTTCCAGATTCCTAGACAGAGGAAGAACCACTTCTGTCTTCTCTCTGCTCTCAGCTCATTCCTGCAGCATGCTACTGGGTCACTCATCTTCATGTCTGTTTAGGGTGACCAACCATCAGTGACCAATAAATGGGGACTCTCCTAGGTTTAGCACTAAAAATTCCAAGTCCTGGGGAATGCCTCAGTCCTAGGGAAATCAGAAAAATAAGTCCCTCAACATGACAGTGAGTAGCTATTTAATAAAATAGGGGCCAAGACCAACTACTTCACAAACACTGCCTTATTTTTCGAATTTAAGACAACACTGAACGCAGTTAGGATTATCCCATTTTACAGGACAAGAGAGGAAACTGAGAGGTAAGTAACTTGCCCAAGATCACAAGGGCACCTGGAATGGAATCCACGCTGGGGCTCCGGGTGCCATACCACCACACTGTATCGCCATCTGACAATCCAGTGGCAGCTCCGCACAGCAAGCTCTCGATACCTATCATGGAGTCCGGAATCACTTATCACCATGCTCCTAGCACTCAGTATCAGCTAATGTGCCAGTGTTGGTCCTTGACAGAGCTACCAGGCATTTACAGGCGGGTCCATGTGACAGGAGGAATGTATGTAAAAAGCACATTTATTTGCATGCCCTGCTTTTAACTTAGCTTGCTTTTCTGTAAGTGCCACCTGCACAAGACGCTGAAGACGTGAATGCCAACACACTCCACATTCCTCATGTTCCCTCACAAAGATAACATGGAAGCTTTCCTGGCTTGACCATTTAACACATGTGGCTCTGTCCAGGCGAGACAATCCAGCTGTTGGCCAAACCCCAGGGCTGTCTTCAGGTGGGTTCTCCTGAACTAACGGCACAGAGCAGAGTGCTGGGAAGACAGGCCTCGCTTCTCCAGGGTGCTCCGTGCAGGTCAGCTTGCCATTTGCTGACCCTTAAATTTGGGAAACACTACTGACTTCAGCACCCTCCTAGGCTTTATGGGTTTCTAGAATTTAAATGCTGTGTGCACTGGCACAGAGTGTGTATATGTGTGTGTGTATTTTTTTTTTTAACATTGTTTCAGTTGTAACTCTCCTGACCAGAAAGGCATCCTCCATCTTTGGCTTTTGATTCCAGGTGACAGGGGTTAGGAAGCAACCTCTCTACTCCCTCCCACAAGTTAAAGAAGCAGAGCTACAGGGACCACTTCTCCCTACTAAAACGAAACAAAACAAAAAAACCCCACTTTTAAAAATGTTTATTTATTTTTGAGACAGAGAGAGACATAGCGTGAGCAGGGGAGGGGCAGAGACAGAGGGAGACACAGGCTCCCGGCTCTGAGCTGTCAGCACAGAGCCAGACTCAGGGTTGGAACCCACTTACCGGGAGATCACGACCAGAGCCGGTCTGATGCTTAGCGGACTGAGCTACCCAGGCACCCCTCTCCTTATTTTAAAACATAAGTTCTAGAGAGAGTTTTATTTATTTATTTTAATATGATTTATCGTCAAATTGGCTAGCACACAGTGTGTACAGTGTGCTCTTAGAATTTGAGAGAGACCGCAGGAGTTCCGAGAATGCGGGCCACAGCGCCCCACCCCCTCCCCAACACGCCCACTTCGGACTGCCATTGTATGGAGATGCTTCAAGCCAGCTATCTCACTCAGGGCCTCCCAAAGGCTCCGGAGCCTGCGGCCCCTCCTCCCCCAGGGGGTGCCGTCTAGCTCCCCGAGAGGGGGAGGGGGAAACTAGGAGCCAAAGACCCAGCCCGGCGCCACTTCCACGGTTAATCAGTTTACCTGGGATGTGTATTTGGCTGCACCCTCCTGGCGACCTTCCCTGGCCACCCAGGGTCAGAGGATAATTTAAAAAACTCTTCAAAGCCAGGACCCTTCCCGGAGCCAGCTTAAGACTGGAAACCTGGGAGGGACAGGCTTTACTCTTCAAAGTGAGAACAAATGTGAAAAGATTTAGCACTTAGTAGGTAGTCAATAAACGTTAACTTTGTTTCTCACGTCTGGGCTTCACCTCCCCCGCAAAAGCCATCTCCAGCCGAACCCGATCCTGTCCCTTCCTGAAATTCGACAAGACCAGAGGTTTGGGGGGTTTTTTGTTTTTGTTGTTTTGTTTTGTTTTTGCCTTTTGAACTAGCGGTTGCCACTTCCCTTTCTCTCCCAGAGCGAAGCACCCGGACCCTTTCTCAGACTTCATTTTGTTCAACTGTAAATCGGAGCTGGGGAGCACAAGTTTGCCGTCGGTCCCAGGTCTGACATTCACAGGAAATATGCAATCGTGCCTCTTACGATTATTTCTAACCCCAGCCCCCCGAACACGAGGAAGCTGCCGCGAAGTCTCCATGTGAGTCACGTCTCACAAAGAAGCCCCTCTGGGCTTCCGGACGGGAGTTCTGGACGCTGACCAATGCACCCGTGCACAGGTGCTGCGTGCGGCATGCACACCAGCGCAGGGCGGAACAGTGCACCGTACACCGTGGCCCCGAGGCACCCACAAGGTGCCAGCCTCCGTCCAACTCCTCTCTGCGGCTCCAGTGCCTCCTTTCTTCCAGGTGTGAAATCCCCACAGGAAAATCATCTGCCACTCCGAAGGATCTTCCAACTGGGCCACCAAATGGCCCAGAAGATCTTGGGCCCTAGCCAATGTAATCAGTTCCCTGCTGCGGACTCTAAGGGAGGGCCAGAGGAAATGCGAGCACAAGCCCGGCGACCGCTCGTGCTGCATCGAGGGCTCCGGCGCGGCTCCTCCCAGCGCCCCCTGCGCCCGTCGGCCGCGCGCGCTCACCTACTGGGCAGACGTACCCGCCGTCCGTCCGGGGCTGCTTGGGGACACACTCGGGCCCTGCCACCCCGCTGTTCTCTCTCTTTCAGAAAGGCATTTAGAAAGCAGGCCTGCCCTCACTTCACAGAATACGGGCTGTGACCCTCACCACCACCAACGTGCCGCCGCCGCCAGTTTCTGTCTTCCAGTTTGCTTTCCTTGGAAACTCATGCATCCTGCCCCCTCCCCACCGCCCCGCACTATGCACACACTGGTGAAAAGTTAAATGCCCCAAACAGTGCCCAGGACAGTCTGTTCCGGTAGCCCACCGGCCTGGGCACTTGCGCTCAGTACTCACCGAGATTGGGGTGTCGGGCGGTGGGGTTGGCCCTGCCGGGCAGGCTGTGCAGAACCGGGCTGTCGAAGGGGCCGGCGGAGGCGGCGGCCGCGGCCGCCCAGGACGCGCCCACGTCGGCCATGTAGGCTGGGTAGGGGCTGGAGTAGGAGCCCGCGAAGCCCGCGCGCCCGTACTGCTCGCGGCCGGCGAGGCCCGCGCCCGCCGCCGCGCCGCCGCCGCTGTAGGCCGCGGCTTCCCGGGCGGCTGCGGCGGCCGCGGCGGCCGCCAGGGACCCGGTGGTCCCCGGGAAGGAGAAGCGCGGAGACACGGGCGGCGGGGTGTAGGCAGCGCCCTCGGCCCCCGCCTGGCTCCAGCCCGGGCTGCTCTGCTGCGTTCCGGGCCCGGCACCCGACGGGGCCCCGCCGGAGCTGCCGCCAGAGGTGGCTCCGGACGCAGCGCTCCCGCCTCCGCCCTGCAGATAAGACAGGCCCAGCACCGAGGAGGGCACCCGCGGCGTGGGCACGTAGACCGGGGAGGACGCGGCTCCCGCGCCGTGCATGAAGGCGCCCGGGCCACCCGCCTCGTAGGCCCCGGGCGGGGGGCCGTGGTTGGCGGCCATGGCCAGGCTCTGGTACATGGCCTCCGCGAGTCCTCTCCTTTACTCTCGAGTCAAGGCGCAAGGCAGGGAGAGAAAGTAATAAAAATAATAAAAATAATAAAAATAACGTACAGGTGAGGGCTGTCACATAAATGAAGATCCAAAATCAAAAGTAAAAAATGCAAATCGCTCAAAAATGTATACGTATTAAATCCAGCATCGAGCAAAAGACTCTAAACTCTTGTTTACAGGAAAATCCCAAATTGAATGTTTGGTTCTTCCTGGAGGTGCTGGAGAAGGGGCCGGATCTACCCCAGGGCCTAGAGGTCCCGAGCGCCTACACGAGTGGCGGAAGACACGGGGTAGTTAGTGCCTGGGCGCCGGTATGGGGCACGGGCCTTCGGGTCACGCCGGTGGCCGTCGCTGCGCACCGTCTCTGGGTCACCCGCAGATTCCGGCTCTGCGTGCGGCAGGCTGGCTCCGATGCGGAGGGTTGGACTGGCTCCTGTCCTCCTTGCAGCAGCCACGGTCCTGAAGGAGGAACGACAAAAAACGGACACAAGTTCACCCGGAGCGTTCTGAGCCTACTTTCCCTGAGTTTGGTTGCTTCTCCGCACTGCAAACCAAAGAAATCTCCGCTTTTGGCGCCCAGCTTTGGAGCCCACGCGGTTGCGAAGAAAGCTGCGGTCTTTGTTTTTCGGTGGCCGTGGGGTCTGATTGCCCCCAGGGAAGCCTAGGGAGGGCAGCCTTAGAGAAGTGGGGCTTCACGGTTATTAGATATGTAATTACTGTTGTACTGCTGGTCAGGAAAGACTTTAATTTCACTTTATTTTTCAAGCATATTCTTGTCGCAGAATTTTTAAGTTCAAGGGTTTCAGTTTCCAGCGGAGTGCCTGGGACCCAAGAAATATCGCTCATCTTTGTTCCCCCGCCAACCCTAAGTGTCCCTGGCCATGAAAAAACTTTAGATTGCCTGTGAAACACAATGACAAACTTTATAAAAACCAGCAACCTAAGAAATTTTTATTTGTAATCTTTTTATTAAAGCTAGAGGTAGAGTTTAAATGTTTATACACGAGCACAGTGTCTGCTAAATCTCTGTGAAAAGGACTGTGAAATCTCTTATCCCACCACACACTATACCATGTGAAAGTCAAATCAGACAAGGTATTTGTTTCTGGCAAATAGTTATATTTTAGCGATTTTGCAGATTGCACATTAAAACCGGAATAGTGAGAGAAATGTACAAGTTCACTTTGTGGAACTACTCACTGGACCATTCAGATTCACTGAATGGGGTTTTCCAGATAAAATCACTGATCCACCCTTGAGGAAATCAGAACACCAATGACAAGCTGAAAAGGAAGAATCAGTTCAGAGGACTTGGTTATGCCCTTGTATCCTGTGTTTTTATTTTCTCCGGCAATTTTTCTGATAAAATAAGAGCTCAGTGTTCTGAAGCACCTGCTCTATCCCAGGTCCTTTTCTCTACAGCTTCCCAAATAAACGTGTGTGTCTCTTCATTTTACAAAAGAGGGAACTGAAGCATGGGAAACTTTTGAAATTTGTCAGAGAGCAAAGTACAATTGGAGGGGCTAGAGGACAGAATCTGCGGGGCTCCAGGGATTTGAGGCTGACCACTACATTCCCACTCTTCTCCTTAAGAAGAGGCAACCACTTTTTAACAGTGGTTTCTTTTTCATTGCAACGGAATTACAAAAAGATTAATTGACCTTTATTATACTAAACCCAGGCTCTGACACTTACTGAATAAATGACTTTAGACACATTACCTAACTTCTGTGCCTCAGTTTCCTCATTTGCAAAAATGCAAATGTTAAAGGTATCTATCTTGTGGAGTCATGGTGAGGATTGTAAATTAATATATGTAAAGCTAGTATAGTAGGGTTTTATAAAACTTGTAACAGATACAAAGTTCTATGTAATTGTTGGTTATTATTACAGATTTCTAATGTGCCATAAGACAATGCCTCAGATATAATCATACTATAATGAATGGTTATCTTAATTATTATAAAAAATTCTGAAAATGGAATCTGTAATATGTACTATATAATACTTTTAACCATCTTTGCAACATCACTAATGATAATGGAATAGCACTGTATCCTATAGTCACATGTTAACTCCTAGATGGTGTATCATTTGCTTTCAAAACTATACAATAAATTATTGGTTTGTTGGACATTTCCTTCCAGTCAGAAGTCTGGCTAGAGGGTGGATGCAAAAAATTTGATCTGAGGGGCACCTGGCTGGCTCTGTCCATGGGGCATGAAACTCATGATCTCAGGGTTGTGAGTTCGTGCCCCATGGTTGGGTATAGAGATTACTTAAAACTAAAATGTTAAAAAAATTTTTATCTGAAATCACCAACTTCACTCTTTGAAAATCAAGGCAAAAAAATTAGTACTTCATAGGAATCTGTGGGCTTCAGTAAGTAAATACATAGGCTTACCTTGATAAAATATTCAGTATTCTATTTTTAAATCAAATAGTTGAACTATTTCATTGTATTTTCTGTAATACTCAACTTCTGTAGTTCTAATACATAACATCATACTTTTTTCTCACATAACTGCAGGAAGGGAAGATTTATAATTTTGTAAGCTAACTTACACACAGATGCTAATTTATCAGCTGTAAAATGTAAATGATAAAAATGCCATAAATCTAACATTTGTCTTTATTAAATTCTCTGCTTTTTAAAATGGCTGGTGCATTACCTGGCCTTTGGATTACTGAACAATAGAAGGTGGAGAAAATACCCCTCTACACCTTTCTGGAAAGACAAAGAATCATTCTGCTTGCTTCTGTTATTAAGCCTCGGTTCAGGCGTCCGCGGAAGAAGCAGAGCGAGCTACTGAGAATGGCAGAAGAGATCTGGCCTCATCATGGGGACTCAGGCCTGCTCCCCAGTTTTTCCCTTTCCTCCAGATCACTCATTTCAGTTCACCTCCAATTCACAGACCAAACAGGAGAAGCTTTCTTCGTGATTTAGCCCACAGCCCTTTTCCGATCGAAAACTTGTGCTACTGTCTGCGTTTATTAACAGGTCACTCCTGCTCTTTGGGCTCAGCCTCTCAACCTTCACTCTTGGCCTGCTGCGCAGAAAACTGTCACACACAAACGCACTCACTAGCCAGCAATAATAAAGCTGGCCGCTGCTGGGGAATGTGGAGACTCAGAACTTTGGGGAGACATCACTCTGTTATCCCAAGAGAAACCTTACTTTAAAAGCCTGAAACCTACTCTTGGCTGTCCATTTCATTTCTGAGAAACACAGGAAATATTTTCCTGCGGCGCTTCCCCAACCTTCCCCCGGAAAGCCGTCCCTGCAGCCCCAAATCCAACCAGCTTGGAGTCCTTCACCCTGCTTCCCAACCGAAAGGCCTCCGCACTCCCTCAATCTGGTGGCAGTTCACCACCCAGGCATCCTCCTCTTACCTGAAGGACCCCTCAGCCCAAAACCAAGCGACATAATACTGTAGATCGGGGCAGCTAACCGTGGCCAGCGAAGGGACGTCACTGCTTTCCTCCCGGGTTCCGGCCCTCAGCCACTTTCACCCAGAAGCAGTGTGGGTGGCGATCTGACTCTCTGGACCCCCGTGAGAGAGGCTAGAAGGCTGGCCAGAAGGGCATAAAACGTCCGGGCGCTCAGTAGCCTTTGCCGACTTCGAAGCGCCTCCCCGGGGCCCAAGGCCCAGTTGCACAGCCTCCCACCGCCACTCTGAGTCCCCGGAGTCACCGACCGGCGACACTCTTCGCCTGAGCCCCTCCGTGAGACCTGCCCCGGGTCAGTTGGTCAGTGTGATTTCGCACGGCCATCATCACCATCCAGGCCCTGGCCTGGGAGGTGCAAGCAAGGGCTGGAGAATATATACGCAGGGGCTGGGATTAAAAACGTTCAAGTTCACACACACACACACACACACACACACACCCAAGAGTACTTCGAATATCCTTCTCCGCTTTCCCCCCAAGTCTTAACTCTGCTTTAAAGAAGCTGTTAAGCCAAAACGAAAAGCTAAGCAGGCTTTGGCTACTTTGGGGGAGGAGAGAGTGATCAGCCTCTCCTTTCCACCCACTAGTTACCTCTCCACTCCCAGGCAAACAAGCGCGGAGGAGCTCTGAATTTCGCAAACGGTGGGACAGAGCAAGGAGAAGACAGAAAAGGCAGTACCTGCCGGGACTTGAGCTTCTAGGAGGGCCGGCGCACGCTCCCCGGGCGCCCTGGGAGCTTAGGCAGCGGCGGTGCCTCTCGCGGCCACTGTGCCGGCCGCCTCCGAGTCCCCCAGCTCCTGGCGCCGACTCCCCTCGCCCCTGCGCTCCAGCGCCAGGCGCTGACTGGCCCGTGGGAGTCACGTGCCAGGGCCGGGGGCGGGGGCGCGCCGCCGAGGCTGCACCTCCGCTCTGCGCCGGGCTTCGGGGCTGTTCAAAAAACTCCCCCAGCAGGCAAAGTCCAGGCGCTCGGATCTCGGAAAATGCTAAAGTGCCACCAGTCGGGGAGCAGGGCTTCACCCACCGCCTTGCCAGAGGTCAATTCGGTTTTCAGTTTTGCCCAGGGTCAGCTTTATTCAGGAGGCCCCTCTCCTACCGCCTCCTTCCACCCCACCCCCCACCCGCGCCTCCTGGTGGTCCCGGTCCAGCCCCGGACTAGCGGGGCAAGGGGCGGGGCTGATAGAGGGGAAGGTGACCTTTTGGGCCAGACCCCGGATCGGCTGTGGAGCACAGGGGTACCAGGGGTACCCGGCTAGCTTCGAGTCTCCAGGAGGTGGTGGATCGTGGGGTTCCTGCCTGACTTTTCCACCGAACTGCGGGTGGAAAAGACAACCAAACCTGGGTTTGGCCCACTCAGGTCAGAGCGCAGGGACCGCAGCTTCCCTTCCGCCTTCCCAGCAGGCTGGGGAGTCCGCGAGGCGGCCTCTCCAGCCCTCAGTTTTATGTATTTATGCAAAACGTGCACCCCTTCCTGACGACGCTTCCCATCTCCCGCGGCCTCCTCCCTTCAGATCTTTCCGTTTTCCCAGCAGCTTTCGGCGCCGCTGCACCAATTCTAGGGACTTGGCGGGGGCTTGGGAAGGTTGGCGGTCCAGCCGGCTTCCTCGGCGGAGAGGGCTCTTCCAAGCCCCCTCAGCCCCCTCCCTGGAGCGGGGGGCGGGGACGGTGGCCGGCCCGGGTCTGCAGTCGGCGTCAGTGCCTAGAGGCCCCAGCACAGCGGGGCTGCGAGCCGGAGAGTCCCTCAGACAGGTCTAAAGGTTAATAGAGCAATCACAGGGCCCTATTACCGCGTAAAAATAACCCATCGATTACCGCAGCCTTCAGCCCCAGATAACAGCCGGCCGGTGGCTCTCACGCTCTCGGTTAAACCTTTTCCCCCCACTAAGGCCTAGTTTCCCTCCCTAGAGCAGGTTTTTCATACCAGATTAGAGGGGTCGGGAGGGGGCCGGGGTAGCACCCTACACGAAACCCGTGCGGCTGCGAAGGAGGGATAAGGGGCTACGCCAGCTTCCGCTGTTGGTAATCGGTGTGGATTCCTGGCCTGCGCGAGGGTAACCCGAGCGCTGAGGACGAGACTAGGACGCAGGGCTGATTGGGAGGAAACCCCCAAAGGGATCGTGGCCAACTCGTGGGGATTCTCAGGAAAATCCCGGAGGAAGGGCTGAGCGCGGCTGCGCAGGGAGTTCTCTTTCCTGAGCTCAACGTGCGGAGGTCCAGCGGGGCCAGAGCCCAAGGGAGAAAACTGAGACGTCAGGTCTGCGCGGCGGCCGGACTCACCCGCGCTGCCCCATCCCCACCCCCCAGGCAGCTGATCGCCTAGGACCCTTCGAGCCCCGGAAGCTTAGGCACCCTTCTCCAGCTTGCCTCAACTCCTCGCCAGCGCCTCTGCAGAATTTGGCGCAGCGGATCCCAGGTGTCTAGGAACTTAAGAGGGAGGGTGCTCTGGACCCCGGAGGCCGGAGCTGGGGAGAGGCGGGTTGGCGGAGGACACTCGGCGGGCGCCCGCAGAGTCAGCCGAATGGTGGAGAAGGGCACTCGATCTCTGCGCAGTCGGAAAACAACATCCCCATTGGCCTACGAGGGCTTTCTGGAGAGTTGAAAGTCTGGGCTTGGACGAGCGGCAAGTTGTTCTGGCATTTCTGTTCTCAGTGGGGATTTGTGGCTCCAGAGATGCCCTGGGTTTCAGAGCTGCCTTCCGGCACGCGACCCTCAGCACCGAGCCTGCAGCCTGGGCAGTGAATTTTCTTAGCCACAAGCCTAGAAAGCTGGGGCTAAGCGTCTGGTGGAGCGGCCATCCGAGCGTCCTCACCGAAGCCAAGGACGCGGGCCACTCCTAGGCAGACTTCTTCCAGTAGTGCAGGATGTGTGTGCTGAGGTTCACATTAGCTGGGTGCCCAGGGGCGAGCCTCTCACCCCACTGCCCACACATCAGACCTCTCGGACCTTCAGTCTCCTCCTCTGTGGGGGCGGGAAGGGTGCATAACAGGCCCTGCCTACTCTATGTGGCTGTTATGAGACCCTAGATAGAAGAGCCTGCATTTCCTAAGCGCTCGCTTGTTAGGAATCCTGGATTCACGGGGGTGGGCGGTGGGGGTCTCTTCTGGCAAGGGACACGATAGAGCTCTTTTACCCACGCCCCCGGCTGGCGCTCTTCAGGTGGGCTGAGGTCTGGGAACCTTGAAAGATTCCTTGCTTCTAGGAATGTGCCTGAGATAGAGAAAATTGTGTCTGTTTCCTGTGGCTCTTTTCTCTGGGCCCAGCGCCCCAAATTTCTCCTCAAAGGGCTCAGCTCAAGGACGGTCCAGAAGGTGGTTGGCTAGCGGTCTGTTCCTTTGGGGGTGTTTTCTTTTCCCTCGCTCTCTCCCTCCATTTTTCTCTCGCCCCCCTCCCTCTCCCCTCTCTAGGATAAGGCGGGAGCCCCCGCGGCCGCTGCGCGTTGCCAGGAGCGGGGAGCATTTCAAGGCCTCGCTGGCCCGCCGGCTGGAGGAGGTTTATCGGCTGCCGTTAAGTTCCCAGGCTTCTTTCTCGCTCAGGAGGCCGCTGGGAAGGGGAGGGGGTGCTCTGAGGTTCGGATTCTTGGCTATTTTTAAGGACATGTCCCTGGGCTGGCCTGGGATGGTGGCCCAACAGCTCTCACGTCCTCTTTCCTTTTTTCTTTCCCATAGTCAACAGGGAAATTTTAATACTGCATAAATCTTTTTACTAAGGGCCTGGGTCTAATGAAGACTCAAATCATGAGATTTTAGACAAGTAAGAATTACTTAGATGTACTGTGCTCTTTTAAAAAAAAATTTCCCCGGGTCACAAGAATAGATCACATTTTCTTGCTTCATTAAGATCTCCCGGACTTGCGCTGGTCCATACCCTGGTAAAGATACAGTTGTGTCTGGACGTAGTGTACAGAGTAAGCTGAACTCTAGTTCCCTGAAAAAAAGAGTTAATAAAGTGTGGACGGTGGAATTCACGGTGACACCAGTGAGGGTCTATCCTCACGGGGTAACCGGATTTCCTTGTCGGAGCCGAGCCAGCTTATTTTAAACGGAGCGCCAGCTCAGGTGCCACAATCTCAGATCTGGGTTAGTAACGCCGTTTGGCTCCCTACGAGAATCGGCCTCTGCGGCCAGCCACCCGAAAGCCTACTGTGTCTGAAAAACACGCCCCCCCCCCAAGTCTTCTAATCGGAACAAGAGACCCCCAGAGAGAGAGAGAGAGAACAAGAGAGCGGACGTGGAGTCTCCCCTCCCCTTTGGAACGAATCCCTCCCCTCTGTAGACACTTCTCTGTGGACTAGTGCGCCAGGGCTCATGACAGACATACAAAGTGACCCGCGCTCAACGTAGGCTGGCTCCGGTCCCCAAAGGGCCCTCGAATTCCCCCATTGTCTCCACACGTTTCCTCCTCCCTCTGCGACTCCCGGTCCTCGCCTGTGTGGCCCACTCTGCTCCCAGGGCAACCCCCCCGCCCCCCCAGAAGCGGGCGGAGCTGGGGGAACCAAATTGGGAGCAGGGCCGTCCCCGCTGATGCAAAAATGGAGAACGAATTAAGCTACGAAGCCACGGAGAACGTCCTTTCCCTCCTAGAACCCGGGTTCCACAACCAGAATTCTTTGTGAGGGGTGGGGAGGGAAGGGCGTCGGGGACCTAGAGAGCCTCGCCCCCTCCCACCGGGAACCGAGCTCTGCACCCCAGGAAATGATCATCGCCCGCTGGCAGAGGTAACGCAGCAAAGGCAGCAACGCTTTCTGATTCTGTCTTATTTTAAAAAATACTATTCGGTGTTGCAAAGTGAAGCCATGATCTCGCTCACAGACCTTGGCAAACGCTTCGTTGGTGCTTCAAGCCATGACGATCAGAGTTTTTGGCACACCTCCTAATATTTTATAGTCATTTCAAGATTACAGAACGCTCTCAGATTCCATTTTTTTTTTTTCTCAAGGAAACAACATCCTGAGCTAGAGGGAGGAAGAGAAGGTGTTACCGTCTCATACAAACAGGAACTCAGAGACCCCGAGGGGTTAAGGCACTTGTCCGAGGTGGCAAAGAAGGTACGCTCCACAATAGGTCTTGAATCTAGATTCCCGAGTCATAGTTCTTTTTCCCAGTCTATTTAATATTGAGTTTATATCTATAATGACACTTTTTTAAACCCGCATTTTGTTGTTCAAATATTTCTAAATTTCCCTTCATGAGTATGCCTGACACTTAAAAAATTAAAATCGGCTTAAAACAAAGCAGGTTGTGTCTCATAACCTAAGAGCCCATGGGAAGGGAAAGACGAACAAAAAGGAGGCTCCACATTTTCATTACATTTGGGAAGGATGCCAGTGGCTTTTTAAATGGGGAGGGCGCTCCTGAGGGCCCAGGGCAGCAGAGGGCAGAACTGAAACCCGGTCTCTCAGGCGCCCGAAAGTCCGGGCACTTGGGCCAGTAGGCTGCCCATCAGGGAGCATTCAACTCACTTTGGCCACCCTGACGCCGTGGCACACCCCCCTTTCCCCCTTCCCAGCTTGGCTCCTTCTCTCCCTCCTCACGCAAGAACCTCATGAAAACAGCAGCAAACGGGAGCTTCCTGCACCCACTCTCCAAGCTCCATGGAGACTCTTTGAGCTGAGGGGAGGGCCTCTACCCTTTGGGGACCAGAACTGTCACCTGTGGGATCTCTCTTGGTGATGATGTGGGCCTCAATATTTTCACTTGTGGGTCTTCCCTCCCTACCCTGGCAAGGACTTTTAGAAACTAGAGTGCTGGCAGC